GATTACTTTATCGCTACTTCCTCACCAACACTTGCTATTTCTTGTCTTTTTGATACCCATACTAAACAAGTGTGAGCTGATATCTCATTGTGGTTTTAATTTGCATTTCTCTGAAGATGAGTGATGTCGAGCTCCTTTTCATATACTTCTTGGACATTTGCATGTCGTCTTTGGAAGAATGTTCATTTCCTCTGCCCAGTTTTACATTGGATTGTTCTTTTTTTTTTTTTTTTTTTTTTGCTATTGCTTTGTATGAGTTCTTTATATAATTTGGATATCAACTCCCTACCAAAGATACGGTTTCCAAATATTTTCTCTCATTCCATAGATTGACTCTTCGTATTGTTGTTTCTTTTGTGGTACAGAAGCATTTTAGTTTGATGTAGTGCCACTTATTTCTGCTTTAGTTGCTTCTACTTTTGATGTCATGTCCAAAAAATAAGTGCCAAAACCAATGTCAAGGAGTTACTTTCCTATGTTTTCTTGTAGAAGTTTTATGGTCCGATATTACACTTAAGTCTTTAATCCATTTTAAGTTAATTTTTGTGAGTGGTATAAGATAGGGGTCCTTTTTATTTTTTATGTGTTTATCCAGTTTTCCTAGCACCATTTATTAAAGAAAATTTTTTCCCCATTGAACACTCTTGGCTCCCTTGTCAAATGTTAGTTGGCTGTATATGGACACAGAGTTGTTTCTGGGCTCTGTTATTTGTTCTGTTGGTCTATGTGTCTATTTTAAGCCAGAACTATGCTATTTTGAATGGTATAGCAGCTTGGTAGCATAGTTTAGGATCAGGAAGTGTGAGTGATGCTTTGTTGTTTTCTCTCAGGATTGCTTTGGCTATCTGGGATCTTTTGTGGTTCCATACAAATTTTAGGGTCTTTTGTTCTATTTGTATAAAAAGTGTCATTGAAATCTTGATAGGGAATATGTTAAATCTATAGATAGCTTTGGGCAGTATGGACATTTTAACAAATTAATTTTTCCTATCTATGAACATGGACAGGATAGCTTTTCATTTGTGTCTTTAATTTCTGTCATCAAAGTATTACAGTTTTCAGTGTATTGAATTTTCACTTCCTTGGTTAAATTTATTCCTACATATTTTATTGGTTTTGATGCTGTCATAAATGGGATTGTTTTCTTTATTTCTTTTTCAGATATTTTGTTGTTAGTGTATAGAAATGTAATTGGTTTCTGTAAGTTGATTTTGTATCCTCCAACTTTACTGAATGTGTTGATAGTTCTAACAGTTTTTTGGTTGAGATTTCCTGTGTATAAAATCGTATAATCTGCAAATAAAAACAGATTTACTACTTCTTTTCCAATTTGGCTGTCTAGCTAGGACTTCCAGTACCATGTTTAAAAAGAGTGGTGAGATGAGGGGGTGGGGGACGCCTGAGTGGCTCAGTAGGTTGGGCGTCCGACTTTGGCTCAGGTCATGATCTCGCAGTTCATGAGTTCAAGCCGAGCATGGGGCTCTGTGCTGACAGCTCAGAGCCTGGAGCCTGCTTCAGATTCTGTGTCTCCTTCTCTCTGCCCCTTCCCCACTCATGCTCTGTCTCTCTCTGTCTCTCAAAAATGAATAAACATTAAAAACATTTTTTTAAATAAAATTTTAAAAAAGAAAAGTGGTGAGATTGGGCACCCTTGTGTGGTTCCTGATCTTAGGGAAAAGCTTTCAACCTTTCCCTATCGAGTATGATGTTAGCTATGGGTTTGTTGTGTATGGCCTTTATTATGTTGAAGTATGTTCCTTTTATACCTAGTTCATTGAAGCTTTTATTATAAAAGGTTATTGTATTTTGTCAAGTGCTTTTTCTCATATGTCGAGATGATCATATGATTTTTATCTCTCATACTATTAATGTGCTATGTCACATTTATTGATTTACATATGTCCTACCACCCTTGTGTTGCAGGGATAAATTCTACTTGATCATGGTCTGTGATCTTTTTAATGTGCCACTGAATTCAGTTTGCTAATATTTTTTTGAGGATTTTTGCATCTGTATTAATCAGGAAGTTTGATGTGTAGTTTTCTTTTTTTTTGTAGTATCCTTATCTGGCTTTGATATTAGAGTATTCTGCCCTTGTAAAATGAATTTGGGAGTGTTCCCTTCTCTTCAGAGTTTTGGAAGAGTTGGAGAAGAATTGACATAAATTCTTCTTTAAATATTTGGTAGAATTCATCATTACAACTATCTGGTCCTGGGCTTTTCTTTGTTGGGAAGTTTTTGATTACGGATTCATTTTCCTTATTCATTAGTGCTCTGTTCGTATTTCCTATTTCTCATGATTCAATTTTGATGTATGGTTCTAGGAATTTGTCCGTTTTCTTTTCTTTCTTTCTTTTTTTTTTTTTTTTAATTTGAGAGTGCAAGTGGGAGAGGTGTAGAGAGAAAAGGAGAGAGAGAACCTTAAGCAAGCTCCACGCCCAGTGCAGAGCCCGACGCAGGGCTCAGTCTCATGACTATGAGACCACGACCTGAACTGAAATCAAGAGACGGATGCTTAACCAACTGAGCCATCCAGATGCCCCTATCCATTTTCTTAATTTAACAGGCCAGTGGGAGACTTTAGCTACATAGTAGAAAAAGAAGATGCATTTTCACTAACTGGGAATTCTGAGAGCATCTACCATATGATTTGGACAAATAATCCCTATTGTCTTTGATACTCTAGCTCCCATATTGGCATGAATTTTACTTTGTTACTATTGTGCGTGTGTATATATGTGTATGTTTCAGTGAAAAATGATTACAGGAAATTTAGAAAAGGCAGATAAAAAATAAAAATCATGCATAATACCATCTCTTACCTAATCATGGTTATTTCATTCCCTTTTAATTTTTCTCAAGCTTTTTTAAACATAGTTAATAACCATAGATTTTATACTTTTATCATTTCCATTTCACTAAATTGTCTTTTTTTTAAAGCTGCATAATATTCCACTGAATATGCTGTTAATTGACCTAGTATTTTCTATTGTTAAATATATAGGACTTCCTGCCAGCTTCTTAATATTATAATAATGTTATATTCATAGTTTCATGCACATAGAATTCTTTATATTATAGATTATTTTCTTTTTTTTAAAATATTTTTTTTTATTTATTTTTTCAACGTTTATTTATTTTTGGGACAGAGAGAGACAGAGCATGAACGGGGGAGGGGCAGAGAGAGAGGGAGATACAGAATCGGAAACAGGCTCCAGGCTCTGAGCCATCAGCCCAGAGCCTGACGCGGGGCTCGAACTCACGGACCGCGAGATCGTGACCTGGCTGAAGTCGGACGCTTAACCGACTGCGCCACCCAGGCGCCCCTAGATTATTTTCTTAGATTACCATATTTTTATTGCTTTTACTACATATTGTCATTGTTTTTCCAGAAGTAGTAGTAATTGACAAGATCACTAACAATGCGTGAAAGATCAACTGTGCCACATCCTTGAATATTGTTTTTAAAATAATTTTACTAGTTTAATTTCAACAGCCTCATTTTTATTTCTTAAATTAGCACCAGAGATTGGATTTTTCTTTGTGTGTATTTACTAGTTATACTTCTTGCATGAATTGTTTGTCCTTTACATACTAAAGTGAAATCTTTACTATTAAATTCTTGGGGCATTAACTCTAACGTTTTAAAACTTATACACATGTATTTTATATTAGAAAATTGAAACCCATCTATATGTAAACCAGGAGAAAATAAAAACTGCTCATATTGCTACCACATAGACATATCTGCTTCTGGTATTTTAAATCTGTCCTTCTGACCATTTTTTTTTTTTTTTTAATGTTCATCCAATTTTCTTAAGTAATCAAATACATCATCACACTTTTTTTTTTTAATTTTTTTTTCAACGTTTATTTATTTTTGGGACAGAGAGAGACAGAGCATGAACAGGCGAGGGGCAGAGAGAGAGGGAGACACAGAATCGGAAACAGGCTCCAGGCTCTGAGCCATCAGCCCAGAGCCCGACGCGGGGCTCGAACTCACAGACCGCGAGATCGTGACCTGGCTGAAGTCGGACGCTTAACCGACTGCGCCACCCAGGCGCCCCTTTCATCACACACTTTTAACTTGCCTTTATTTCATTTACTATGCTAATGCCTTTATATGAAAAATATAGTACTTTTTTTCCTGGTAATTCATGCTCTTTCTTGATAATTTGAAAAATATAGAAAACTGTAAAGAATAAAAATTACTCATTCTATCACCCAGAGATGATGGCTGTCAATAGGTTGTAGTTCCTTTCCATTTTTAATGAATCTATCCTTTCCTCAAAATTGCTATCATGCTATATATATTTATGATGTTTACTGAGTATTCATTCCGTTATTATACTTACAAAAATTTCTTTTTTGAAATTGTTCCCTAGTCACATAATTTGTTTTAGAATTGTCATGGTCTTAAGGGCACCTAGGTGGCTCAGTAGTTAAGTGTCAAGCTCTTGGTTTCTGCTCAGGTCATGATCTCACGGTTCATGAGTTCAAGCCTTGCATGGGGCTCTGCGCTGACAGTGCAGAGCCTGCTTGGGATGCTCTCTCTCTTTCCCTCTCTCTTTGCCCCTCCCTTGTCTCTCTCTCAAAAAATAAATAAACTTAAAATTTTTTTTTAAAAAAATTGTCATGGTATTAGATGTTTGTTTCTGATTTTCTGTATTTTTTTATTCAGTTTTTACCTTCACCAGTTTTGCGCTTACCTTGTCACTCCTCACCAACATTGACTATTATCTTACTTTTAAATATTTGCTAATTTGGTGGTTGAAAAATGGCATCTCATTATTTTGATACCTTTCTTAAATGAAGATTCATTAATAAGAATAATAGGATTTCACTAGAACGTATTTTACTAAAAGGAAGTAGACTTTTCTTAATGGGTGGTTGTAATGGTTGTGTGTGTGTGTGTGTGTGTGTGTGTGTGTGTGTGTGTGTGTGAACACAAACAGTGGATTCCTGTGCCTAAAATAGGACTTTTTTTTTTTTTCTAATAGGTCTTGGTATCTTGATGGACAAATACTACTAATAATCATTTGTGTTGGCATTGTGTTCCCTCTTGCACTTCTTCCTAAAATAGGTAAGTCTTAAGAGAAAAGAACATTTTTTTGTTTGGAAGAGAAAGAAGATAATGTTAAGGGGTTTTTAAATTTCACAGTACCACATTTTTAGCAGAAGGGTGGTAGTGGTGAATAATTTTGAACTCGGACTTATTTTAGGTTGTTCAGCCTTCAGCCTTGCCTAGTTAGCCCATTACTTGGTTTGCAGTAGTATTTTGTCTGCCCTACTAAAATAAAATCTTTACAGCGGAACATTAAAGAGCAGCCTTTCCTTACAGTGTACCATTAGTGGTAAGCCTGTTCCAACTCTGCTGTACAGAGCTGCATAAATGATCTGTGACAGATAGTTGGAATGTTGTTATTCTCAGCCCTAAGCCCCAGATACCAAGCACTGTAATAGAAAACATGCCCAAGATGTATAGCTTTTGCTGTACGTTAAGAACACTTTCCTTATAAATTGCTTTTTATTTTACTGTTATTTTACAGGCTTTCTTGGCTACACAAGTAGTTTATCATTTTTCTTTATGGTGTTCTTTGCTGTTGTGGTAAGTTTGAAATAGAGTACATTGCTTATCTCCTCACTAAAATGGAACTTACTGTGTCAATGTCTTCTTTTTTCTTCAACTCTGTTTTCTGTTAGAGTTTTAGTTCATTGTGTTATTTAAAAAGCCCTTTAGGCCACAAAATTATTTCCTTTGTTGTATCTCTTTTGAAGAGGCTGAGCTAAAGCCACAGTTCAACTTCGGTATCTCTTTTGGTTCACTAGAGAGGAGAGCACACTGATTGTGTTAAAACCTAAGATGAAGTCTAGTTCTTTATGTAGGTGCATGTTTCAGTTTATTTCCATATAATGCTGTGTGTGTATGTGATTGAACTCTCCCTTGCTACTGAAAGATGAGTGAAAGGAAATGCTACCCAAATGAGCAACAACACAGTATACCAGTAGTTGAGCCATATTATAGAGCCATGGTTTCAAGCTATCACAACAATCAAGGAGGCATTTAATTTAGGTTAAACTGTCTTCTGGGATACGAGGATAAAACAACTTTGGATTATTTAAATGAAGAGGAAGTGACCCTGGTTTTAGTGTCCAGAAATAGTTATACTTCAGTGGATGCTCTTAAAACTAAAATACTCAAAAGCGTTTTCATTTAATCATTTGTTGAATTTATCAGCGTTAAAAATCATTGCCCTCCCTCCCTCAGATTGTCTGGCTTGTATCTTAGAAGTAAATGAACTGAACACAGACTCTTTTCTCCCTCAGTTTAATTGAGATACAGTTGACATACAGCACTAAGCTGAAGGCTTACTGCATAAAGACCTGACTTACATATATAGCAAAATGATTACCACCACAAGTTTAGGTAACATCCATGAACATAGACTTTTTAGGCTCCGCACTGAAAAGGGAAACCACAGTTATTTTCACCATAAGTGGATTTTTTTTTGCAGTGGTACTTTATTAATTTTTTGAGTATAGTTGACAAAAAGTGTTACATTAGCTTCAGGTATACAGCATAGTGATTCCATAAGTTAATACATTATGCTATATTCACCACAAGTGTTAGTACCATCTGTCACCATTCAACACTATTATAATATCATTGACTATATTCCCTATGCTGTACCTTTTATTCCCCGTGACTTATTCATTGCTTAACTGGAAGCCTGTATCTCCCACGTCCCTTGACCCGTGTTGCCCATCCCCCTCCCCCCTCACCTCTGGCAACCCTCAGTTTGTTCTCCGTATGTATAGGTCTGATTCTACTTTCTGTTTATTCATTTGATTTTTTAGGTTCCACCTGTGTGAAATCATATGGTATTTGTCTTTTTCAGTCTGACTTATTTCACTTAGCAAACTACCCTCTAAATCTATCCATGTTGTTGCAAATGGCACTATCTCATCCTTTTTTGTTGCTGTGTGATATTTCATTATGTACACACACAACACCACATCTTCCTTATCCATTTGTCTATTTGAATATTTATGTTGCTCCCATATCTTGGCTATCGTAAATAGCTCTGCAGTAAACGTAGGGGTGCATATATCTTTTCGAATTAGTGCTTTTGTTTTCTTTGGGTAAATACCCAGTAGTGGAATATTGGGTCATATGGTATTTCTATTTTTAATTTTGGGGGGAACCTCTATACTGTTTTCCACAGTGGTTGTACCAATTTACGTTCCCTTCAGCAGTGCCTGAGGGTTCTTTCTTCTCTACATCTTCGCCAACACTTGCTATGTATGTCCTGTCTTTTTGATTTTAGGCATTCTGATAGGTGTAAGGTGATATCTCACTGTGATTTTGATTTGCATTTCCCTGATGATTAGTGACGCTGAGCATCTTTTTGTGTGTCTATTGGCCATCTGTATGTCCTCTTTGGAAAAATTCAAGTCCTCTGTTCATTTTTTAAATGGATTATTTTTTTGGCATGAGTTGTATAAGTTATTTACGTATTTTTGATATTAACCCCTTACCACATATATCATTTGCTAATATCTTCTCCCATTCAGTTTTGTTTTCTTGCTGGTTTACTTTGCTGTGCAAAAGCTTTTTATTTTGATGTAGTCCCAGTAGTTTATTTTTGCTTTCAGTTCCCTCGCCTTAAGAGACATGTCTAGAAAAATGTTGACGTGGCTGATGTCAGAGAAATTACTGCCTATATTCTCTTCCAGGAACTTTATGGTTTCAGGTCTCACATTTAATCCTAAGTAGAGATCTTTAATACATTTTGAGTTTGTTTTTCTATATGGTGTTAGAAAGTAGTCCACTTTCATAATCTAATTGTTGAGAAGTATCTACAAGGTTAGGAATGACCTATGTATGCAAATGAACATATGGATGTGAAAGAGAATCAGTCTAGATAACATTGAATTTTTTCCTCACAGATAATTGGCAATCCAAGCATTGCATAGGTAAGAATAATTTGGTTTGTATAGCCGATAGCTTGAAGCATGTGAAATGTATTGATACAAGATGTCTATTGTAGTTTTCACAGTATTCATTTCTGGCAGGTACTCTTAAATTCGGTGCAGATTTCTTAGCAGTCATATGGAAATAATACCGTTTTTCTGCACTTACTCTAACGTTTTATAAACCATCTGCCCAGATTTTTACCTGTGAGCACAATTTAAATTTGATCTGCAATGAGACAATGAAGATACTGTACACCTTTTTTTAATGCTCCTTCTAATTGTCATATTTATTTTAGACTTTCTAAATAATTAGGTTTTGAAATACTAGTGGTTAGGGAAAGGAAGCCTGTATATATTAGCTCAGATTTTTTTGAAGGGTGTCAATGATTTCATTTATTATTTTTGTCAGTTTGTGTTTGTAAATCTATATAATATCTATATTACATTTTTCAAAAAAAAAAAATCAGCCCAGAAATCTGTTTCTTAAATTACACTGCCTAAATAATGTAGGTAAAGCTTGCAGTCTTTTTAAAAAAAATCTGATCAAAGCCGGCTTTAATTTTTTATCCTCACACTTAAAAGGTTATCTGATGGCTACCATTTACCAATCCTAGCATTGGTTACTAGATAAGGAATCTTGAGGTAAATTTATCTTGTTTACCTAATGTTCAATTTCTGTCAGTTTATTTTTTTAATGTTTTATTTACTTTTGAGAGGGAGAGAGAGAGAGACAAAGTGCGAGTGGGGTAGGGGCAGAGAGAGAGGAGGACACAGAATCTGAAGTAGGCTCCAGGCTCTGAGCTGTCAGCACAGAGCCTGATGCGGGTCTCAAACCCACGAACCATGAGATCATGACCTAAGCCAAAGTCAGATGCTTAACCCACTGAGCTATGCAGGTGCCCCCAGTTTCTATCAGTTTTAATATACACTGGTGTAAATAGCATTATTGACGATTTTGTATGAAATTCAGTCTCCTACACATCCCATGGAATCACGGGATAGAATCAGGAGACTCCACCTTCTATGTGAACCTCAGTGGTATTTTTATTTGTAAGAGAACCTTCTTACAACAGGTTTATTTAATTCTCCTAAAAGTGGTGGCATTCTTTTAAACGATTCTTTCAGAAGCAGCAGTTACATAAATGGAATATTGCATTAAACCTAAAAATGTTGGCCCTGGTTAACTTTATTATTCTGCATATGATCATGATAAAGGATAAGGATATTCTTCACATTTCCAAGCAAAATCCAATTTAAAAAGCTTATTCTTACCAAACCCCTAAAAACAGCCATTTGAGGGGAAACCAGCAGGGCGTTGTATCACCCCAGTGAAGTGTAGGTTTCATTACACGCACCTACAGACCCACGTGGCTACCTTCTGCATTCTACTTTTACAGAATTTATTTTACACCTATTATACCAAACAGCATTTTTTTTGTTTTTTTGTTTTTTTCAATATATGAAATTTATTGTCAAATTGGTTTCCATACAACACCCAGTGCTCATCCCAAAAGGTGCCCTCCTCAATACCCATCACCCACCCTCCCCTCCCTCCCACCCCCCATCAACCCTCAGT